TAAACAGATGCAAAGCAGGTTTAATCCCTTAAAATGCACAGCTGGGGATTTCTAGGGAGCAGACTGAAAAATTAACACTGAGAAAGAGAGTAAGTCTCCAGCAGCTACAGCTGGGTCATGGAATCATGGAATATCCTGAGCTGGGAGGAACCCCCAGGGATCACAGAAGACCAACTCCAGACATCCAACAGATCAGCAGCTCTGTCCCTGTCAGCACAAGGTGCCACTCGCAGGCCACAAAAACACATCTTGAGAATCCCCAAACTGCAGGATTTCCACTGTACCTCCATCCACTGATCCTCTCAAGTGTTTGTGAGGCAGATTTCCCTCTCCCAGACTCCTGCTGGAGTCAGCAGCTCTCCTTCCTGGCCAAAGACACCTCAAAGCACAGAGATAGCTGAGTAAACAGTGCTGATTGCTGTTCTCCTGGCAAACCTTGGGATAGCTGCTGGATTCCTTCAGGGAGGAGCACAGTCTTTCCCAAAAATCGACTCTCCCACCCCACTGGCTCTCAGGAGGGCAGAGACTCCACCCCTGGCTCCAGGACTCATTGTGGGTGTAGAGCAAGCCAAGCCCTTCCCTGGGCCACCTTCCCAACCCCAGTGACTCAAGATGTGTCTGATCCCTCTGTCCACGGATGTTTTTGCAGAGTCAGCAAAACAAGGAGCTTTCCCCAGAGCCTCACAAGTGTGACACAAAAACAGGGAGAGAGATCCAGCCAGGGAACTGGACTGCTCAGACAGAGCTTGGATAAAACTCACACCTCAAACTGGGCTGCCCTGGGCTTGGAGCAAGCCCAGGAGGCCACAGAGATGCTCCAAGGGCTGGAGCCCCTCTGCTCTGGAGCCAGGCTGGGAGAGCTGGGGGTGCTCACCTGGAGAGGAGACCTCAGAGCCTCAGAGCCCCTTCCAGGGCCTAAAGGAGCTCCAGGAGAGCTGGAGAGGGACTGGGGACAAGGGATGGAGGGACAGGACACAGGGAATGGCTCCCACTGCCAGAGGGCAGGGATGGATGGGATATTGGGCAGGAATTGTTCCCTGGCAGGGTGGGCAGGCCCTGGCACAGGGTGCCCAGAGCAGCTGGGGCTGCCCCTGGATCCCTGGCAGTGCCCAAGGCCAGGTTGGAGGAGGCCTGGATCAGCCTGGGACAGTGGAAGATCCCCTGCCCAGGGCAGGGGATGGAACGGGATGAGCTTTAAGGTCCCTTCCCACCTAAACCATTCTGTGATTCCATGAAAAGCTCACTCCTCACCTGCAAGGTGTGAAACAGCCCCATCACCCACCTGCACCCATCCATCCCCCTCTCCTGCTCCAATATTCTGTGCTGAAGGGTGAGGCCTGAATTCCCTCTGCATCCCCCCAGCACCAGCTCCAACACAACCCAGGAGCCCCCAGCAGGGCCACACTCACAGCTCCTGAGCTCCTTCCAGCTGCAGAAATTTCTCTGTAGCAACAAGTTCTTTTGGCAGGAACCTCCTGGAAAAGTCAGCTGGAGATTCACCAATGCCACAGTCAAATCCCACGGGAGTGCTGCCTCACCACTGCACAAACCCCCCTGATCCCAGTGGGAAAAGACACCCGGCCACACCACTGAAATGAAGAATTATTTGCTTTCCATCATCAGTTTTTGCTGCAGCCTCGGGAAACCAGGAAAAACAGAGCCAGGACTTTCACACTCTGCTGGAAGTGGGAAGCTCACACAGCTGCCTAAGAGCAAATCCTTAATCCCTAGGAAAAGCAGGAAGTTCTTCAGGGCTGAGAGGAGATTTCCAGAGCAAGGAAATCAGTGACAACAAACACCCCTCAGCTGCCGGGCACTGGGATTCCATCAGGGCTTGGGTCAGGAAATATAAACTATTAAATGAAGAGGTTGGAGTGGGGTTTCAATGTTTGTGTGGCCAACCCCTCTGGATCAGCTGAAAAAGCCGAGCAGATCCCAGGGTTTGGCAGCAACGCCCTGGGAGAAGGTTTTACAAGTTCCAAGGGCCCCAAAAAGGGAAATTATCACAGAAAAGCCAGACCCAACCCCCTGGAGCATCCCTCAACCTCATGGTGAGCTAAGAGCTCAGGAAAATGCCAAAATTCTGTCCTTGGGTATTGGTGGAGCACTTGGGAGTTGGATTCCTGTGGATTCAAGCCTTGACACTGAGATTCCTCAAGCCCTGTGACAGCCACAGTGTAGTGGTGGCTTGGGCTGGGATGGCAGGGTAGCACTGGATAAGAGCCCAAATGAAGCTGGAGTGTAATGGGAATAAAGCTGAATTATAACCAGTCTAAAAGAGAATTATACCCATAACGAAGCTGAATTATAGCCAAAGTATAGGATGAATTATGACCAGAATAATGCCAAATTGTACCCAGAATGGAACTGAATTATAACCAGAAGGAAGCCAAATTATAACCCAAGTAAAGCTAAATTACACCTGAAGATTAATTACTGCCAGAATAAAGCTGAATTATAACCAAAGTATAAACTGAATTATAACCAGAATAATGCCAAATTATACCCAGGATAAAGCCAAATTATATCCAGAAAAAAAGGCCAATTTATGACTAAAACAATGCTGAATTACATACATAATAAGGATTAATTATAACCAAAATAAAGCCAAACTATAACCAGGATACAACAGAATTATACACACAATAACACTGAATTACAACCAACACAAAGCCAAGTTATCACCAAACAAAAGCCAAATTACACCGATTCATAACCAAAGCAAAGGTGAATTGCAACCAAAGAAAAGCCGAATTATAACCAGAATAATGTACAATTATAACCAAAATCACACCGAATCCCACCAGGATAACGCTGATTTATAACCAAAACAAGACTGTGCCGCTGCTGGCCCAGGGCAGGCCCCGGGCACCGCCGGAGGTTCGGGGGGTCCGGGAGGGGGGTCCGGGCCCCTCAGGGAGTTGTGGGGGTGTTTTGGGGGGCCCGTCCCCCCTCAGCGGGACCCCCGTGCCCCGCGCCCACGCGGGCCGTCACCTCGCAGCTGAACTCCATCTCGGCGTCCATGGTGGCGATGCGCACGGTGAAGGTCTTGGGCTGCTTGCGCTTGAGGGAGCTGAAGCTCATGCGGGACGCGATGGCCCCGGCCATGGCGGCGCGGCGCGGTCAGCGCGGCGGCGGCGCCATGGCGGCCTGGCCCCGCCCCCCCGCCGCGCCATTGGCCGCTCCTCGAGGTGCTCCCGGCCCCGCAGCGCCTAGCAGCCAATAGAAAGAGCTGTGTTGGAGAGGCGGGAGCATAAGCAACTGTGATTGGGTAGAGAGGACGTCACTCAAGAGAAGGAGCGGGGTGAGGCGGGGCCATGAGGCGAGGTGTGAGGAGGCCATAGGGCGTGACGGTGTCGCCCCCTGGTGGCGGGCGGAGCGCACTGCAGGTGAGAGCGTGGGAGGGGCGGGCACCGGGACCTAGAGTGGGGACACGAGGACAGGGGGACACTGGGACAGGGGGACAGGGGGACAGGGGGACACGGGGACAGGGGGACCGGGGGAGACGGGGACACGGGCACACGGAGACG